GAGTTTGGGTAAGATTTGATTAACCCTTACGTATGGCGGCTGTGGATTTCTCCAGGATAAATCTACTCCGTATAAATATTACGGAGTAATTAAATAATTGACTAATGTCTCTCCAATTTATTTTACTAGGGAGTATTAATTTGCCCATGACATATGTTTCTCACATAAATAAAATAAATACGGAGTAATAAAAACCCAATTTTTTTTATCATATTTGTCTTGATTAGCTTCCAAACTTTTAAAAACAATATTTATTAATAATACACTAACTCATTGAAATCCACTAAGAGGATCAAGGATGTTTCTTAGGGACTGTAGGCAGACCAGACTAGCAAATTTCAGTCCAAAAAAACATCTCAAATAGGCTGCAATGTACTACATTTTAAATATATTACTCTCTCCGTCCCCAAAATTAACTTCTCACTTAAATTTCACATATATTAAGGAAATAAATTTACTTAGACAATGTTGTTAGACAATGTTTTGAATTGTTTTGACGTAGATAATTTTCCAAATAAGGAAGTGGGAAGTTAATTTCGGGACTGTCCGAAAAGGAAAGTGAGATGTTAATTTTGGGACAGGGTACTATTTAAATATTCAACCTTTTCCAACAATGAACTGATATAAACTCTTCAAAAAAAACAATGAACTGATAAATTCTTCGAAAAAACAATGAACTTATATAAAAAAACGACTCCCATTTTTTTGAATTTGTAATCTTTTCTCCATAACGTAATATCCGAACGTACCTAGTAATTTTTTGGTTCCCCAAGAGAAATTGTCTCCGACCTGCCTATATTTTATAAATATCTAAAGCAAAGTTTTAATATTTTAGCTTAAAAAATTAACTCCAAAGAGTCAGAGACAACTCAATTGAAGTCTACTACCAAAATAAAATTTAATATTTGGATTCACCGACTCCTTTTTGGGACCCCGCGATTATTTAATTTTGTTTCACTTTTTTCTTGTGCTGTTTTTGGAAATATTATGTAATTGGAGTTTGGAAAATGAATTATACGGAGTATAATATATTACCTTCCTTCTTTATACGTAGTTTTTTGACACCGTTATACGTAGTTAAGCCATCATAAAGTTTATAATAAATCTGATAAAAATGTGTTTTTTTACAGCTTGGCTGCCCTGTGCTGTTGTTGCCTCCTAGATGCGTGCTTTTGACGAGAGCGAGATTGGTTTTATCCCATGAATGTGTCATAGTATACATAACTATATATACCCTATATATTAGCATTTCCTTTGTATTTTGGCATTTAATTCATTAATAATTCGGAATATTATGTTCTTTCGAGACAAACTTTCTGTGATGTAATTTTCTGAGTGTGTACTTTTCTATCTGAAACTATTGATTTTTTTTGTTCTTATTGTCGTATATTTGTTTGATTTTAAGTTTTAATTCGAAGAGTCAAAAGGAAAAAACATTCAAATTGGGCCATGTTATGCATGTGTCCGTGGACAGAGAGGGGTCGGTGTTCTTGTTGGTTGCATTACTTGCATCCCATACTTCTCCATCTATATAACTTTGTAGGTTATACCGTTATACATAAATATTGTCATTTTCATATGTAATCAACTTATACTATCAAACGCCTTCTATTCACTTATTTGGTTAAAATTATTTCCAAAGAAAGCTTTAATTGTTCTAAATAGGATTAATGAGTCCTTAAAGAGTACAAATAGGACTACTATTTTTTAAATTACCTAAATAGGAATAAGCATTGATTTTCTATCAATTCATAATGAAATAAATGTTTTAATTCATAATATAATAATAATAATAATAACGTAAAAATATTAAATACTAGTAAGAAAATACTCCATATAAAAATCGATAACAAATAGAGATGTGCAAAAATATTGAATCAGTATTGTATTGAATCGGACTAGTATGTTACTATGTTACTAAACTACAAAACAAGGTTTCGACTTTCGAATGGATCTTAAAAGTTTTATACTGAACCATAGCAATTCCATATCATTGCACATGTTGTTCTTACAAAAATGAAAATCAATCCAAAATCGGACAGGTCCGAATTATAAGTTCAGCTATACATTTGTCCCAAGTCCCTAATGCGATTTTACTTAGCCTCACCCTTAATCAATTTGCCTAATTTTCCATTATATTGTGTCTTTAATTTAAGCTTTTTAGTCTTGTCTCACGGATTTTTATGTAATACACAATTTTTATTTCACAGGCTTATGTAATGATCAAAGTAACTAAAGTAAGAGCTATTTTGAGAGAATTAGTTGAAATTACGGGACAAAACTATTTTAGCTATTTTCCTATAATTTTATTTATATTATTTATATTATTAATAAAATATACTTGAAATAGAAAATGTTAACATTTCAGCGCATTCTGCCAATTTTAATTTTTAATGTTGTCAATTTTATTGTCAAATATAGGATGTGGATGTTACTATTTTTTTTTATAGTATGTAGATGTTACTATATTCATTTTCAATATGTTCATTTTATCAATTTCATTTTAATAACATATAAAAGTCACATTACTCTTTTGTGTAACTATTTTGTGCAACTACTAACACTACAAAAAATATTCGGTATAGGCGCGGAATTTGACAGGGAAACATTCAAAAAAATCTCAGACTAATGGGTTTGGCTCGATTTTGGCTCTGAGTTTTTTTCCAACCACCTAGTTCGAGCCAATTGCTTACCTTTGGCTCTGAGAGGTTTGACTCGCTGATTTTCCGTGCCAACTTGAGTTGATTTTAAACCATCACAACTGTACCCAGATGAGGTTTCAAATTCAAAAGTTTGGCTGGGAAATTTTTAATTTACAAATTTGAACTTTGTCTAAGAAATAAAATCGAGCCAAATCAAATTCATTTCAAAAAACAAATACTGTATACGTGTATGTTATTTTTTTATATGTTAAGCTATAGGCCTATAGCTAAAGTAACAAGCCAAACATAAATAATAAAACAGTCACATTGTTAAGGGTAGAAGCAGCCCAATAAAGTAGCAACAAATGTCTAGAATCATCATACGGCATGCCCAAAAAACATTACATATAAACCCAGAAAGTTTTCAACAGAAAATTACAACATAGCCACAACATCATCTTTACCGATGTCGTTGAAAATGTCATTCATCCTGACTTCATTGGAATCACCATTCAGTCCGTTCATCGGCATCGAAATCAGGGTCCGAAAGCTAGAAAAGTCGGGTAACTGGATGGACGGATTGTTGTTGAGTGCTTGCTCCATAATTGCCATAAAGGCTCCACACATACTGGCCATTTGAATGGCCATTGCAGCTCCAACTCGTTGTTGGTGCTGCGTAAAGCGAGCTTCAACCTCCTCCCGAATGCTCTGATCGATCTCGACTTGAGTTGGTCTATTATGACATGTATATATATGTATATGGGCTCGGCCCTTTATGTAGTTTTGTATGAGCTTAGGTATTTACTTTACCCTAGTTGTGTAAATTAACTTGTATAAATACCCATTATTAGTAATGGAATGAAAGGAGGGAGAATTAACCCCAAAATTAGTCTTTGTTATTTGCCTCTCCCCCACGATTCGTGACATGGTATCAGAGCCGCCGAAGGCCTAGGGTACTGCTTCCTTCGATTTCTCTTCTCGCAGAGCACCAGCGTGCTTAGCGGAACCGGCCATGGTGGATGCATCGTCCCCCTATTATCTTAGCCCCGGTGATCAACCGAGGAACCTCATCACCCACATAATCTTCAAAGGCGACAACTATGTCGGGTGGTCGCGTGCGATCTTGTTGTCACTGAAAGCTCGGCGGAAGAACGTCTTCGTCGATGGGACTCTCAAACGACCGGAGGAGGCTGCCAGGCAGTCCGATTGGGACACTACCAATTCCATGGTCGTGTCATGGCTTCTACGAAGCATGGAGCCATCCGTTGTGAACTCGATACCGTTTCACGAAGAAGCCCGATCACTTTGGGTTTATTTGGAGAAGCGGTTTAGCTTGGCGAACGGTCCACGACTGCAGCAATTGAAGGCCTCCATCTCAGCCTGCAAACAAACCAAGAATATGAGTGTTGATGCTTATCATACGACGTTAATGGGTCTCTATGATGAATTGTATCGATTAAAACCTCTGCCGGTCTGCACGTGCACTAATTGTACGTGTAATATAGTCGGAAAGATTGAAGCTGAACGAGAAGAAGAACGTTTTCATCAGTTTCTGGTCGGGATTGATGATGAACTCTACGGCACTGTTCGTTCGAATTTGCTCTCGCAGAACCCATTACCGAACGTAGACCGAGCTTTACAGGCTTTTGTTCAGGAAGAAACTTCACGAGCTGCTATCCGTGAGAAAAATCTTATTGGAGAAGTTCAAGCTTTTGCCTTGCAGGTGGAGCGTACTGCCAAGGGACGTCCAGAAAAATCAGAAAAATCAGACCGCCCCAGACCTCTTTGTACTCACTGCAAACAGAGGGGTCATGAAGTTGGCTCGTGTTTTAAATTGCACGGCTACCCGGATTGGTGGGAAGAAAGGAACTGGAGCAAGAACGGGCAAGCCAGTCGAGGAGGGGGGGCTCGCACCCACGCAGTGGCACCTGCACTTTTACCGGCAGCAGCAGACGGACCATCTTCTTCTACTACGGGGAATAATGGTCTGGCTACTTTGACCCCCGAGCAGGTGCAGGCGCTCCTAAATTTAATTAATCCTGATACTAATTCTACTGACCGGATGTCGGGTACGTTTCCCCTCTTGGAGTGGATTATTGACACCGGAGCTTCCCATCATGTTACAGGCGATTCCACTTGTCTCACAAATCCCGGGACTATTTCTCCTTGCCCGGTTGGATTGCCAGACGGGCGTATGGTGGCTGCAGTAGTGGCCGGCCGAGTCACCTTAGCCCCAGATTTTACTCTTAACAATGTTCTTTATGTACCGGGGCTCCGTTGTCATTTAATTTCAGTTTCCCAATTGACGGATCAAACTAATTGTCTTGTCACATTTACTAATCAATTTTGTGCTATACAGGACCTGTCCTCGAGGAGCCTGATTGGAGCCGGTGAACGACGGGATGGGCTATTTTATTTCAGACGGGTACCGGCCTTGCATCATGTTCAGACATCCTTGGGAATCTCGGCGTTTGAATTGTGGCATCGTCGTATGGGCCATCCTTCTGATAGGGTATTAAAGTTATTACCTGCATTTAATTCTAGTTCGTCGCAGAAAAAGTTGAATAAGGCTTGTGAAGTGTGTCCGCAAGCCAAGCAAGCACGTGATTCTTTTCCTAGTAGTACTCACAAAGCTAGTGGAATTATTGAACTTGTTCATTGTGATTTGTGGGGTCCGTATAAAACCCCATCTACATGTGATGCTATTTATTTTCTCACCTTTGTGGATGATTTTTCCCGTGCTGTTTGGGTTTATTTACTGCGTGACAAGAAGGAGGTTCATCAATTTTTCCTTTCATTTATTGCTATGGTTGAGAAACAATTTGGTGCTTCTATCAAAATTGTGCGTAGTGATAATGGAACTGAATTTAAATGTATGCTTCCGTATTTTGACACACATGGTATTTTGTTTCAAACTTCGTGTGTGTATACACCTCAGCAAAATGGGAGAGTGGAGCGCAAGCATCGTCACATTTTAAATGTGGCCCGAGCCTTGATGTTTCAGGCTCATTTATCTATCCAGTATTGGGGTGAATGCGTACTGACTGCCGTCCATCTCATTAATCGCACTCCGTCTGGCATTTTGGACAGGAAAACACCTTATGAAATTCTTCATGGTATCTCTCCTGATTTTTCCTATCTGCGCGTATTTGGCTGCCTTTGCTTTGCTCACAATATTAAGTGTCGTGATAATAAATTTTCTCCCCGAAGTCGGCGCAGTGTTTTTCTTGGTTATCCACAAGGTAAAAAGGGGTGGAAGGTTTTGGATTGGGGCACCGGTGAAATTTTTATTTCTCGTGATGTGATTTTTCACGAGGATATCTTCCCATTTATGGATCGGCCTTCTACCTCTACGCACTCTCCTGTCCATACTACTGTTCCCACTCAGGTTGTTTTGCATCCAGATCCAGTTCTCACCACCTTGGAGGCACAATCATCTCCTCCTACTGCCTCGGCCTCGGAAACCCAGGATGATGCCCACACTAACACTCTTGCTCTCGGCAGGGGCTTACGCTCCAAGCGTCCGTCTGTTCTTCTTCGGGATTTTGTTACTCATCATATTCATACATTAAGCCCATCCCCGTTGTCTGCCTCCTTTGTCAGCTCCTCAGGTACTCCTTATCCTATAGCTAATTATATAAAATGTGACAAGTTTTCTATGCGACACCGGGTTTTTCTTGGAGCATTACTTGCAGGTCATGAACCTCGGTCTTTTAAGGAGGCCATGTCTGACGCAGGATGGCGTGAGGCTATGCAAAATGAAATTCAGGCTCTTGAAAACAATCATACATGGGTTATGGAGTCTCTCCCACCCGGTAAGAAGGCTCTTGGCTGCAAATGGGTGTATAAAATTAAATATCACTCTAATGGCACCATTGAGCGTTTGAAGGCGCGGCTTGTCGTGTTTGGGAATCATCAACAACAAGGCATTGATTACACGGAGACATTTGCCCCGGTAGCCAAAATGGTTACCGTCTGCATGTTCCTAGTTGTTGCCGCTGCCAAAAATTGGGAACTTCATCAGATGGATGTTCACAATGCCTTTCTTCATGGTGATTTACAGGAGGAAGTGTATATGAAACTTCCACCTGGATTTACTACATCTCGGCTGGGACAGGTCTGTCGTCTGCAGAAATCTTTGTATGGTTTGCGCCAGGCTCCACGTTGCTGGTTTGCTAAACTGGCCTCTTCTTTGAAGAATTATGGGTTTGTTCAATCCTATTCTGATTATTCTCTCTTTACAATGTCTCAAGGGGATGTTTGTCTCTATGTTCTTATCTATGTTGATGATTTGATTGTTGGTGGTAATAATTCACGGGCCATCTCCCAATTTAAAGCTAATCTGCATAACTGCTTCCACATGAAGGATCTTGGTATTCTTAAATATTTTCTTGGGATTGAGGTGGCTCGCAGTGGTGATGGCATTTTTCTTTGCCAACGCAAATATATTTTGGACATTATTTCTGAATCTGGTCTTCTCGGAGCAAAACCTGCTGCGTTTCCTATGGAGCAAAATCACGCCTTGGCCCTCTCTCAGAGTGACCTCACAGCTGATCCCGAGGCATATCGGCGTCTTGTTGGTCGTCTGTTGTATCTTTCTTTCACTCGGCCAGATTTAGCCTATTCTGTTCATATTTTATCTCAGTTTATGCAGGCGCCGCGTCAAGATCATTGGTTGGCCGCCTTAAGAGTAGTTCGTTATCTCAAGGGTACACTGGGTCAAGGCATTCTTCTCAGTTCCACGAGTGATCTCACTATTACTGGATGGTGTGATTCTGATTGGGCCAGTTGTCCCTTGACTCGACGCTCTCTTACTGGTTGGGTGATTTTTCTGGGAAATTCTCCTATTTCCTGGAAAAGTAAGAAACAAAATACGGTCTCTCGGTCTTCTACAGAGGTATAATACCGGTCCATGGCGGCTACCACGGCAGAATTAAAATGGGCTAAAGAGCTTCTTCTCAGTTTCGGCGTTATGCATTCTCGTCCGATGTCCCTGGTGTGTGATAGTCGCTCTGCTCTACATATTGCTCACAATCCGGTTTTCCATGAACGCACGAAGCATATCGAGGTGGACTGCCATTATGTTCGTGATGCTATTCAGTCAGGTTTGCTCGCCACTCGTCATGTGTCTACCGATGAGCAACTCGCGGACATTTTTACTAAAGCTTTGGGCAAGCAACAGTTCCTCTATTTACTTCGCAAGTTGGGCATTTTTGAACCGCATGCTCCAACTTGAGGGGGGGTATTATGACATGTATATATATGTATATGGGCTCGGCCCTTTATGTAGTTTTGTATGAGCTTAGGTATTTACTTTACCCTAGTTGTGTAAATTAACTTGTATAAATACCCATTATTAGTAATGGAATGAAAGGAGGGAGAATTAACCCCAAAATTAGTCTTTGTTATTTGCCTCTCCCCCACGATTCGTGACATGGTCCTCAGCTTGGACAGTCCACGCTTTCTAACGAGTCAACTTCTGACCCGGTCCCATATCAGAGCCCTCTATACTTCGACACAATCTTGCAAAATAATTCAGAGTCATCATGATCATAGGACTTCCCTTCAGATTCCGTTGTGGCCTTCATTTCATTGTACTTGTTCTACCAAAACAAAAAAGTATTTTCTACATAGGAAAAGTAAACTATTATTACAGAATATAAAGATCACTAAATAAACACACCCTAGTTCCAACAACTCAAGAAGGTGGATCAACATTCTTGGGAACCTATACTTTCTCAAACATCTCAATTTTCAACGACGATTCAAACTCTTAGAGCCCGTTTGGCAACCCTGTTTTTTGGCTTATCAGGCTTATCAGCCAACTTTTTCACCAAACACGTAAGTTTTGATTTTGCGTGCTGGATTGTGTAATAAGCAGAAAAAGTAAGGTTGTAGTTACTTTTCTGGCTATATTGGCTGAAGTTATTGTAGATGACCATTTTAGCTATTTTTACATATAACTTTTTCTTTATTTTATTAAAAAAATAATAATTTTTTCTTATATCAACAGAATCAGCCAATGCAACCACTTGAGCCAGAACTTCATAAATTTCAGCAGAATCAGCCAAAACAGGCGATTTTCGTGCTACCAAACGGGCTCTTAGTCTATTAACACAAAAAAAGATTACTTTAATATATAAGCCAAACAAACCAATAAAACAATAAAAATAATTTAACATTTAAAACGAAAACAGAAACTTAAAACAAATAAAAAAAACTCAATTCAGCTCCATAAAAATAGTTAGGATTTTGATACTAAAACATAATATTGAACTATTATATCAAGCATTATATACCATTTTTTCAACATGAGTTGTGACCGGAATACGGTCACCCCAATGTTGAGATTGTTTAGACGCATCTGAGTTATGTTTTTTTTTTTGCCTACTACATTTTTTTCTTATAAGTGTCACTTGCCCAATACTCCTTCAAAACCAACCAAGCCCTATCACCAATCCAATCCGGCTTCTTGTTGTGGCATCTTGCCCGACCTATATTTTTACTTAATCATTCGGAAGCACGAAAAGCAAAGCGCTTTTTATAGCATATCTATAATAGGGTTCCCATTGATATTTTTGCTAAACATAGAAAACAGATGCCAAAATTGGTTAACAACTTTATGATAGATAGATTATTCACATTTAAAACATTAATACTTTGTCAAAAGAAATATTATACATTTTATCATACCTCAAACAATTGCAACCATAGGTCACGTTGGTCAACGTTAGCATTCTTGAAGGATTGTCAAGCCCCATGAATACTTGTTATCATAGCGATGATAAAGTTGAGGACAGTTGGATTACTACAACACCATTATTAAATCAATGATCTAATTCAATTTAGGTTCTTAAGGGAAAAAAGGTTATTAATATTCAGAAGTTTTACCTCTGCATTTCGCAGTGTCTGATCCAAATTTTGGCGTGTGATTGATCCCCCCTTAAAACCTAACACCATTGGCTTGATCACCACCGAAGTTTCTAGAATGGAGAGTTTCAACAGACCCATTCACAAGGGAATTCGAGTCAGAATCCTGGGTGTGTGGTTTTGTGATGCCTACACCCCTTCCTCTGCCACAACCTCTGCTTGAATTGAAAGATCTCAAACTTTCCCTACTAGCTGGCATCCTATTTTATTGCATAACAGGATATTACCCATTTTTAAACAATTATCTAAATGAGTGATGTTGATCAATAATTTGTGCATGTTCACTTAAAATTAAAGAAATCAAACTGTTATGGTTCTATAATGACATATATTGAAACAGAATGTTACAAGTAAACTTTAAAGGTTGATGTAACCCACACATTATGATGGTCCCTGGTGAGGTAAAAGTCTAGAGGGGGGGGTGAATAGACTCTTTTTTATTATTTATCGACCCTCACTCCTCTTGAGACAGTGAGTTCCAATATCTTTTAGGAGATATTGAAACGTTCAGCGGAAATCTTGTGCTCATAAGTGTGACACTTTATCGAAACAAAGGTTATGACCCTTTAGTTTGATAGAAGATGGTTTAAATAGTATTCTGATGTGTTTGTCAAAGTCAGCTACCATAACCAGCAGGCTGCCGGACAAGGTTACTGCTTTAGTGTTGGAGACATGATGAAGAACTATGGTCTAAGACATTGTTGGACTTTTGGAATAGACTTAACACATAAATATGGAGGATTTAGACCTACTTGGATATATATCCTTTTTTAAATACAAGAATGAGGAACAAAAAGACTAAGATGTAGTAAACTTAATATTTCACTGATCCATGTTTCAGGAAGTTGTTTTAAGGTGACTGGAAAGATGTGAAGGTGAGTGAGAATTGTTGGTGTTGTGGGAACTGAATATAAAAGATGACACAAGATATATCCTGGTTCAAAGGTAGTGTGATCCTCCTACATCCAGTTCCACCCTCTTTCAGATGGATTTTCACTAAATGAATATACTCATTATATTTAGTGTCCAATCTATCATTGACCGTAGGTAAAGATTTTGAGGTTTTCACAAGGAATTAGAACACCATTCCAAGTTACTTAGTCCTCCAAGATTTTCTCTAGTGGCATTGATAAGCCAAAAAGTACTCATGTCCTTGATTTTCACATTCCTTCTCGATTTGCTCATAAAGCCATCCAGAGATTACAAACTAGTCTAGTTCACAAGAGTAAAGCTAAACTACCAATTAACTAAGCTCTAAAGATGTATATGTATATGAACTATTCTAAGAGCTTAGGAGAGTGGAGTGAGAACTAAGAAGATGAGTGGTGTTCAACATTTTCTTCTTTGCTGGGTATGTCGTATAAGCTCATTTTTCTTCTTAGATCCACACTTAGTTTTCACGCACTCCTTCTGTATTTATAGACTTGGTTGTTGAATGTCTTCCGTTGGCTAAAGAGATTCAATCTTGATCGTAGGTTGATCCACTTGACTGAAAAGGCAGCATGGTTCTTTCAGTCTTTTTTTTTTGTGGCGAGTTGTGACTTTGTTTTAGCTTGCTTTCCTCATCTCAAGGTATGTAGTTTGAGATAAGCTTTATCTTCTTTGGCCATAGACAAAATAAAAATAGTAGCTGATTGCTTGATTTTTTTAATGCTTCCTTAGTTTAGGTCATTGTTTTGTACAAAAATAAAGTTATAAGTAATTTTTATAGTTTTAATAAAAAAACACTTATGAAAATTATTTTTATCTTTATCTTTTTAGTTGACTGCAAGTTTGGTGCTCTGTAGAGAACAGTAAATATTTCGGTGGCCTTGGTCCAGAACGTACGAGTCAGTAGCCAACTAATAGTTCTGAGAAGATTCAGTAGGGATTGAAACCAGTCAATTTAAAAACATCTTTAGTAAGTATGATTTTTTATAAATTTTCTCAATATACATTTATGTCATTCCTATTAAATTCAAAATTAGATGAATGTTCAGGAAAGTCTTCAACGAAACCATATTGTAAGCAAAAAACAAAAAATATCATCCAAGTATTCAACCATAGTATCTTGAGTCTTGACACATAACCGGAGCGTAGCTCAACTGGGAGGAACTCTCTTTTCATCAGTTTATGATCAAAAGTTCAAATTTCAATTTACATATCAATTTAGGTGAAAGTACTTTTAACAAAAAACATTTTCATATCATTTTTATATTATAATTAATTTCCAATAAAAATACTACTCACTTCTTAAATAGTTGCAACATTAGAAATTTTACACTTTTCATGTGTTTTACTTTGACTCCATTTTATTTATGAATACATTAAAAGATTATTTTTCAAAAATATAACTAAATTCTTCTGATTTTAAAATTTTGAAATGTGATCTTTTATAAATTTTATCAAATAGAGAATTAAATATATTAGCGGTCAAAGTTGTGTATTCACAAATGTGAAAATGAAAATATTGCAACAAAAAATAGAGGTATATAATTGGTCAAAATTATAAATATGACAAAATTGTTGGAATTAAGGTAGTAAGACAATATTAAAAAACATGTATGAAAGATAAAACTAAAAAGTACAATAAAACTTATTAAGAATTGAGATGTACCAACTAGAAAATTGACAAAATAAAAATAAGGATTATATAGGTAATACGTAATATTACATGTAAGTGCCATCCATTACTACTGTTAATTTGCTTGTCTTCTTAAATGAAATTTATCTATAGATAGACATATATTAATGCCAATTTATTACTAGTACTACGTATGTCTTTTTAAAACAGTCGGTATACCGTGCAACCGGAGCATGGTGAGCACGATGCTCCCCACCCCAAAACGACGTAGTTTTGATCAAATTTAAAAAAAACGTGTGAACAATACCCGCGTGTACAGTGTTTTTTTTCATCCCAGTTGCATGGATGATGTAACTTGTGTATAATTAGATGTAACTCATGTTTCTATAAATGTAACTTCAGTTAGCAACATATGTAACTTGTGCCCTGAAATGTAACTCATGTTTAATGAAAAAAAAGAGTTTAATTATCCAATTATTTTACATAAATAGTGCATATGTTTTTTTTAATATTAGGTCCATTAAAAATGATTTTTTATAATAAAATCACTTTTGATTGAAAAACAAAGGTTTATTTTGTTGTGTAACTTGCATAGTTTTGTGATGTAACTCGCGTACATTAAGATGTAACTCGCGTACATTAAAATGTAAATCACATGTAAACACGATTGAGGAAAATTGAAATGTAAATCGTGGGTTACAAAATGTAACTTTAGCCAAACCGAAATGTAATTCCACGGTATGTGAAATGTAACTCTATATTAAGACAAACATATCCTTGTATAGCTGCAAGATCCATCTTAACGAGGTCGCCAATTCGCCATTTTCTTTGTTCTTAAGCAGTGGCAGATCTAGCCGGAGAGATCGCCGGAGAAGAACCCAATTGTGCGCCGGACTATTTTCTGCGGGAGTTCCTATGAACTGGGCCTCACTGCACCACTGGAGGATCGCTCAGCCGAGAGCAGTTTGAGCCGCCGCCTCTGGAAGGATCTGAACGTCGTTAGACACCGGAAGAGATCGCTGAGGATTGACGATCATCTGCGTACACGTATGTATGCTTCGTAATACTCCGTATTTTAATATACTCTGGGCTGCTGCTAGGTTGTAGATTAAAGATGGACAGATGAAAGAAATCATAGATGTTTGCGCTGCTTGTTTCATAAAACGGTACCGTATTTGATCGGGCATACCATGCGCATGCCGGTCGTACGGTATAATTTGCCTTTTAAAATGGCTCCAACACTACAGGGAATACCATTGCTATCGTCAATCTACTATCATAAACAAACTACAGCCATCCATTACTGTTGTTCATTTATTTACTCCTAACAAAAACAAATTACAGCCAAACTCTGTTTCATCCTTGTTGTAGTTTGCATGTTCTTAATCATGATTTGATTTGATTAATTATACTCCGTAGTTGATTATGTTTCTTCTTAAAAAACTACTCGTACAATACTCTCTCAGTGTAAAAGATATGATACATTGATACCATCACGGGCTCACAGTGTGGAAGGAACCCTATAAACACTATTTTCTTTACAGCTTCAAGCTTCTGCCCAAATCTTCCCCCTCTCATCAAATCCATGGAAATGGGGGGCTCTGAAAGGCCTAAAGGTGCAGTCTTGCTTGGGTTACTATTGTTGGCGTTACTCCGATCGGCCGCGGGTCGGTTCGTGGTAGAGAAGAACAGCTTAAAAGTTCTCTCACCTGACTCCATCAAAGGAACTTATGATTGTTCCCTTGGGAACTTTGGGGTCCCTCAGTATGGGGGAAGCATGACTGGGGTTATTGTCTACCCTAAGGATAACCTAAAGGGATGTAAGGATTTCCATGAATTTGGGATTTCTTTCAACTCTAAGCCCGGTTCTTTGCCCACCTTTGTTCTTGTCGATCGAGGAGGTGCTGATTTTTTAATTGTCTGTTAATATTTAAAGGATTGATAACTGATATGAGGTTCTTACTATTTCAAGCATTTAGTTAGTTATGGAGTTGTCCACATTTACCTTCCTGTGGGTAGGATTTTGATGAAATTGGACATACCATATTAAAGATGCGAAGGTAATTTTATATTGTTTTGAGCAAAAAGGGAAGAAACTATTCTGGAAAATATTATGATAGATGAGAGTAATATCAGTGTGATTTGCAAATAGATATTGTTTGAGAAATCTTACCTCACATGTAAAAAACACCATATTGAAGCAGGGCTGCAAATTTTGGGTTCAATTTGGTGTTTTTGGTTTGGTTTAAGTTTGTTCAAAACGTTCTGGGGATACGATCATCAAGGTAAAACCACCCTAGTATAGTCTGGGTTCATCGGTTTGTAATTGTGTTTTACTGTTTTCTTATTCAGTTACATTCTAATTGGTATTGGTTAGGTTCAAAACTTCAAATTAATATGGGTAAAACGTTACCAAACTAAACTTGATTTCATGTGATTTGGTTTCGGTTCAGATTATTTGAGTTGTTTCGGTCAAACCATCAAACTAACTGAAATGTCCACTCATATGTAATCTTCTCTTGAATTTTGTACCTTTGTCTCATGACTGCCTCTTTGCAGATTGCCATTTTGCATTAAAGGCCTGGAATGCTCAGAAAGCTGGTGCTTCAGCAGTTTTAGTCGCGGATGATGTGGATGAACGGTTGATTACCATGGACTCACCGGAAGAGGATGGGTCTTCTTCAAGCTATGTGGAAAACATAACCATTCCATCTGCACTTGTGGAGAAAAGTTTCGGGGAGAAAATGAAGAAATCATTATCGGAGGGAGAAATGGTCAATGTGAATCTTGATTGGAGAGAATCAGTCCCACATCCAGATGATCGGGTTGAGTATGAGCTTTGGACAAACAGCAATGTTGAGTGCGGGTATAAGTGTGACATGTTGATGAGGTTTGTGAAAGATTTTAAAGGAGCAGCACAGATCTTAGAGAAAGGTGGATACACAGAATTCACCCCACATTATATAACATGGTATTGCCCTCAGGCTTTCACTGTGAGCAAGCAGTGCAAGTCGCAATGCATTAATCATGGAAGATATTGTGCTCCTGATCCTGAACAGGATTTTAGCTCAGGTTACGATGGGAAGGATGTTGTTGTTGAAAAACTAAGGCAGCTTTGTGTTTTCAAAGTTGCGAAAGAGACTAAAAAGCCATGGGTTTGGTGGGATTATGTGACGGACTTCCAAATTCGGTGCCCCATGAAGGAAAAAAAATATAACAAGGAATGTGCTGATGGTGTCATCAAATCCTTAGGTACACTTTTATTAAAGATAGTAATTATCATCACATTAGTCCCAGCTTGAATTTGAGATGACTTATTCTCAAGAAATAAGTGTTTTTTGGTGGAAGAAATTCACTTTTATTAAAAGAAGAAGCTTATGGCCGGAAAACGTGATAAATGCTTCTAATTTCTAAGGAATATAAAAGTTCACTTTTAATGCTTACGTCAAGAGCAGATTAATAGTTTATCATAAATGTTTTCACATTGAAGCACTTAAAGTGATTTTTTGAGAAAATTTGATTTGCAGCTTTCTTAGACATACCATAGAACTGTTTTTTTTAAGTTAAAGCATTTTTCCTTGTTTTTCTGCTAAACTTTTCCTTTTACAGTAAAAGTATTTTTCTCTCCGCAAGAGTACTACTTGTGTCTTGACAATGATATTTCTCTGGATGTTATTTTTAGAAAATTGGTTTAAGTTCATAAATGAGATAGCACATATGGCAAAAGCATGTATACGTAAAGGGTCAGTTTAGTCCTCGAAGTTGCATAAAAGGGGTCAAATAAGTCCTTATATAGAAGATTCTGTCCGGACGTGCCATTTGAGGCGGTTCCCGGTGGAATTTTTTAACTGCACAGTTATCTTCAAGAATTCATTTGAATGTCTTTCCGGTTGAATTTTTATCTGAAATTTGGTATGAGTGAACTAGACTTAATGAATAAGATGCTCAAAACATTTCATCAAAAAATTCCACCGGGAACCGCCTCAAATGGCACGCCCGGACAGAATCTTCTATATAAGGACTTATTTAACCCCTTTTATGCAACTTTGAGGACCAAATTGACCCTTTACTCTTAAGTTATTCCAGACATGCTCTCAAATTCTCAATAGCTTAATTAATGCTAATCTTACTTACCCGACAGGTCTTGATATGCAAAAGATAGAGAAGTGCCTTGGAGATCCCAATGCTGATTCTGATAACCCTGTTTTGAAAGAAGAACAAGATGCTCAAGTACATATTAATGACTTTCCTATTCATTTCTATATGTTGTCTGGTCTTTCAATCATTTTGACAAGTAAAACTTCTGCTAGATTGGTAAAGGGTCTCGTGGTGATGTGACCATATTGCCCACCCTTGTTGTCAACAATAGGCAGTACAGAGGTTAGTTTTTGCTGATTATACATCAGTTGTTTTAGTGTGTAGCTAGACATTGTCCTCTGAAATACTCTTACTTGCAGGGAAGTTAGCAAAAGGTGTTGTATTAAAGGCAATCTGTTCTGTTTTTGAGGAAACGGCTGAGCCTGCTGTTTGCCTTAACGGAGGTATGTTCACTTCTGAGATTAAGCCTTTGTTTGTTATCTTAGAAATTGTGAAGAAAGAAGCAAGAGGGAAAAGTTCTTTTACGTTGATTGGTTAGGGAGAGAAGTAGTAGATGAGCTAAAATATAATGTGGGTCCCATCCAGAAAGGACTCTCTTCGTGAGAGGAGAAACACGTAGGAGGAATGGTAAAAAATGTGGGAACATGACCAATAACAGGTTAACCATACTATCTCTCTACACTTCCATTTAGTAAGGGCAGATATGTCTTTACAAGGAAATTTACTTTCTTCCTTTTCACTTTTCTGTCTAACCAATGAAGACAAAAAATAACTTTTGTACCTCTTCTATTTCTCTCCAATTCTGTCAATCCAAACACCCAAAAAAGACGCCCGTTTTTTACTCATTCTCTCTTTTCACCTTCTGTCTATCGTATGTCTTTCTTTCTAACTTTTTTTTATTATCCAAACAAAGCACAAATATGATTTTTACGTGACACATTTACCCATTACTTGAGCTTTGCTGGTCTATTTTCTTATAACAGATATAGAGACAAATGAGTGTTTAGACAACAATGCTGGCTGCTGGCAAGACAAAGCTGCCAACGTAACAGCCTGCAAGGTTCTTACATTGCCTAGCTTTAGTAGCTTATTTATTTGGAGTTAATACCAGATTTGTCCCTAGACTTACTCAATCCACCCTAGTGACCCTACACTTACTCAATCCACCCTAGACTTATGTTTCTCTAATTTAGATTTTAGAATAGTATATTCATCATGGGAAACTGAATTTGGTCCAAATGACACAGTTGAGGGTCAAATGGGTTGTTTGAAGTTAGGTATATGTTTAGTTAATGGACAAAAACACCCTTCTAATTTAAAACCAAATACTTGTGAAGACAAAAACTGGATCTGAAATTAGTCGATGACCAAAAGAAGACTATACCAAGTAATAACACTTTTATTCTAATTTTGTATAACCAAAGCCCTTTTGTGTGTATATACTCAGGATACTTTTCGTGGAAGAGTGTGTGAGTGCCCCTTGGTTGATGGTGTGCAGTTTAAAGGAGATGGTTACAACTCTTGCTACGGCAAGTCTACAAACTTTGTCAATTTATGTACTTTGTGAACATGTCAATGCCATGTTTTTCCATTATTATTACTATGAGCGTTTTTATTTGCAGCAAGTGGACCCGGACGGTGTCACCTCAACCACGGGGGGTGTTGGCATGAAACTAGGAATGGACACAGCTACTCGGCTTATGTGGTCAGTTACCATTTAATATGCATAAGAAAATTTTTCACTTTTGTGCCTTTAATCTTAGATCATTCTCTCTTTTGGTCCCCTTATTTCCCCTCCCATTGTTGGTGCAAGACTATGAATAACTTGACACTGTTGGTCCCTTATCCAGCGCAAATTAACCAGAAATGGCAGAGTTGGCTGGAAGGACCAAAAGTAGAAACATTTGAAAGTCAGGGACCAAAAGTTTTAAATTTTTATTATATGCGCATCGTTCTTTGTTTATCTTTGTCTAGGAGACTGCTGCGCTTCCATGCAGTTCTAAATTCATATTTTTCTCTACAACAGATTAATGGAGAAGGGAATTGCACTTGTCCTCCTGGATTCAAAGGTGACGGTAAGAGTTGTGAAGGTAAGACGAATTTAGTGTTTTACATTTCCATTACCCTCCATAGTTTTTGGTTGATTTTTTTCTGGTACTAAATCTTGTTTTATGATTAATAGATATTGATGAGTGCAAAGAAAAGAGAGCTTGCCAGTGCCCTGAATGCAGCTGCAAGAATACGTGGGGTGATTACGAATGCTCTTGCATTAATGACCTTTTGTACATGAGAGATCATGATACATGCATAAGTATGTTGTGATTTCCTTCTTTTTAAGTTTTTTATATTTCACCTACAAAGAGTATACATTTGACATAATTCGCCATTGCAGGTAAGACAGCCACCCAAGTCAAATCTTCTTGGGCTGGTGTTTGGATAATTTTGATAGGATTAGCTGCCGTTTCTGGTGGGGCATATCTCATATACAAATATAGGCTGAGAGTAAGTATTATTTTCCCATCGTACCCCCCTGTTCCAACACTAAGAAGCACTTAATTTACATCATAATATAATATACATAGTATATGGTAGCATACTAGCATTAGCGCATACTTACACTTGCATATACCTAAAGTAATTATAATACAATAAATATAATTTAATAAACTTTAGATTTATTTTGTTCATTATTTTTTTATAATATATGTTTATTGCACACAAAAGTATGTGTCGCTATAAATAAGGTTATTATAGATTTTGTGCATAGTATGACGTAAATAGTACAATAGTGTACCGTGTGGGATGCAACATGGTATTTAATGGTAAAATAGATGGAAAACGTAATGAAGTAAACCAAAATGGTGTGAATTGCAAAGTTTATGAACTAAAAAGTGAGTTTTAATTTTGACTAAATGTGACATTTTGGCCATCTGTAATGTTTGATGTGTTGGCTGTTCCATTTTCAGACATATATGGACTCAGAGATTAGGGCCATAATGGCACAATACATGCCACTGGATAGCCAGAGTGAAGTTCCAAATCACACCGGTGAAATCCATGCTTGAGAGGCTAGTTAATTTTTGGGACAAGTGCCATAATTCTGCTGCGGAGAAGGTAGACCATTTTCCGCCATTTACGCCATGGTATTATTTTCTCGTTTTCAGATAATGAGGAAGGGAATCACACGCATCTTCACCCAAGTATTTTGTGGTGGGACAATAATGCTGCATCTACTACTATATCTTTGTGTCATGTAATGTAATAATAGGAAGTAGTGAAGGGGCAGAGAGAATTAGTTCTACTTCATGCATGTTTTTATGACAGCATGAGTTGTAATATTACGGTTGTAACAGATAACAATACATTTTATTAAATCCACCTCTTGGTTTTGTACTTCTAAAAACAGTCCTTGTGATGAAACCTTTTATGGTGTTACGGGTTGCCCCAGTCGGGCCGGTTCCTATTTTGGCTGACCAGATCCCGCCTTATGTAACCCCGGGGCCGGGCCAGCCCGGTTCCAAACAGTGTTAGGTCGGATCACGGGCCGGTCGGCCCGGAACCGGTCCATCCCTATTTATGCCTACCACCCAAGCTAATTCCTCGTTAATCTTCTTCTTTCTTCTAGCAACAGACATGTCAAATATGCTCTGCTATCATTGTGTTGCTCTGGAGTATCTGCAAGCATATCAAAAGGCCAACCCTATGAAATACTACGTAATACATAAATCATATTTGAAGAATATTGAAGAAGATAACTGATACAGGAATTATAACTGGCTGTTATAGTTAGTTACATTCAGTTTAGAAATCTGTTAGTTGGCTTGTATATAAACTGAATAAACATATACGTGTATCATTCCATTGAAGCAAATACAATTTCCCTATTCTTTCATCTCTCTATTCTCTCTTTCATCTATTGTTTACATTGAGTAGGGGTGGACTGAACCGGGCCGGTTCGGGCCTCGGGCCTGGGCCTGGCCGGGCCTCGGTTCAGAATATTGAGGCCCGAGCCCGAACCGGGGGTGGCCGGTTCCGGGCCAGACCGGGCCGGTTTCGGGCCGGGCCACCCGCCCTATTTTTTTTTTTTTGGCTTCTTTGTTTAATCCCCTACCCCTCTTTCTCAACCCCAAACCACCCCAAACCACCTCAAATGGACCAAAATACCTAATCTAACCCAAACCATAACAAATTTTCAAAAAAAAATAAAAATAAAATTATTTCCGGCCCGGACCCGAACCGGCCGGGCCGGTTCACCATATGGAAGGCCCGGGCCCAGAACCGGGAACCACCGGGCCGGTTCGACCCGAACCGCCAGTGGACCAGGCCACCGGGCCGGGCCGGTTGCTACAGTTGCCGGGCCAGGCCGGTTCCGGGTCGGGCCGCCCGGCCCGAGTCCAGGCCTAACATTGAGAATTAAGCTCAGATGGTTCTTCATTCATCTGAAATTCCTGCAATTCTCAGAAGCTTCTCAAAATCAGTTTGATTTTCTGAACCTTCATCATTGGTATCAGAGACGGCATCTGATTCAATAATCGTAATCTCTTCAAACCTTGCTCAATCCCTAAAATGGTGCAAACTCGTCATGAGTCTATGAACACGGTGGACCAGTTCAAGGCACTGGAACAGAAATTTCAAACACTTGAACACAATCAACTGAAGACTACTCAGCAGATCGAAGTATGGATACAGAAAATGAGTGAATTAATACCTCCAAGAAAGAAGGAACCAGCAGCGACACATGATATTGAATAGGAAGAAAGTGACTCAGATCATGAATTCTCTGTGGGAAGAGGTGAGTTCTCACACGATTCTATCAAAATTATTCCTAAGATAGAATTTCCCCAATTCGATGGATCAAATGTGCAAAATTGGCTCAACAAATGCAAGAGATACTTTTCATTGTGCAAAATTGCCAATAGTAAAAGAGTAGATGTTGCTTCTCTATATATGGTGGGTAAAGCTGCTGTGTGGTTTGAGGATTATAATACTGGGAAGGATAATGTCACTTGGGCCAGGTTTACAACTGATATTACTACAAGATTCAGTTCTGAATTGAGTACAAAAGTAGTAGGAAGGTTTAATAAGTTGTCTCGGGTTGGAAGTTTGGAAGAATATATTGATAATTTTGAAGCATTAAAATCCCAAGTGTTGCAGATTAAACCTCATATGCCTTCTGACTACTTCCTGGACAGTTTCATTGGGGGTTTAAAAGACACTTTAAAACCCTTTGTTCAGGCTTTTCATCCCACAAGTCTGAATTCTGCAATCGGATATGCCAGGCTACAGGATGAAACAGTTTCAGCTATAAGTACTCAACCAAGAACCATATTAAATGCATATAAACCTTCCCCAGCAACATTCAAACCTTACTTCCCACAACACAACTCAAAACCATTGTTACCTACTCTTACAGGCAATCAACCAAACCCCTCAACATTTCAAAAGGACAAGTTTGCAGGGAAAACTTCTGTGGCAGAAATGACTGCAAGAAAAGAGAAAGGGTTATGCATGTATTGTGGGGAAATTTATACTCCTTGACATCACCTAAAACACAGAAGAATGGAGATTAGAATGATGGAATTAGATGATGAAGAAGAGGTAAATGTGGAAGAAATAGAAGGGGAACCTGTGGTGGAAGCTGAAATGTCATTCAATGCAATGGCAACTGGGAGACAGTTTCATACCATGAGGATTACAGGAAGTTATATGAGCAAAGCTTTGCATGTGTTCCTAGATCCTGGTGCCACTCACAATTTTGTGGATGAAAAATGGGTTCACAAGATGGGAATTCCTACTGAAACAACTCAATTAATGGCTGTAAACACAGCAGCAGGAAGAATGTTTGTCAAATCAATTTGTAAGGGGCTGACTTGAAAAATACAAAACACTGAATTTACAGCTGATTTTTTTGTATTACCATTGGATTTCTGTGACCTTGTATTGGGTATTCAATGGTTTGTAACCTTAGGGCCTATTATTTGGTTTTTTTTTTTGCACAATAAGATGGAATTTACTTGGAAAGGAAGAAGGCATGTATTGAGAGGAAAAGAAAGTAATGATGTGAGAGTTACTAAGTCTGCTCAATTAAACAAACTTGACTTACAGGAGTGCACATTAGCATTTTTACAGCTCATTCCAAAATCAGAAAACACTGAACTGGTACATCCTTCCCTATATTCAATTTCCAGCAGTAATAATCCTTTACCTCTGGAGATTAAGGATATTTTGGAGCAGTATGATAATCTCTTTAAGGAACCTAAAGCATTACCACCCAGTAGGTTAGGATTTGATCACAAAATTCCCACCAAACCTGGGTCAGTTCCTATTAATAAGAGGCCATACAGGTACCCAAATTTACAGAAAGATATCATTGAGAAATTGGTGAAAGAAATGCTAGAACATGGCATCATCCAAAACAGCTCTAGTCCTTATAGTGCACCTGTGGTGCTAGTGGGGAAGAAGGATGGCACTCAGAGGCTATGCATTGACTATAGAGAGCTCAACAATCAAACAGTGAAAGACAAATTTCCTATTCCTTTATTGGAAGATTTATTGGATGAGTTAGGGGGAGCAGTGATCTTCTCTAAATTAGACTTGAGAGCAGGATATCATCAGATCAGAATGCATAAGGAGGACATTTATAAAACTGCTTTCAAGACACATCATGGTCACTATGAGTTTGTAGTAATGCCTTTTGGGCTAACTAATGCTCCAGCAACTTTTCAAGGGCTGATGAACCATATTTTCACAGAATTTCTTAGGAAATTTGTCCTGGTGTTCTTCGATGATATTTTGGTATATAGTAACTCTCTACAAGAACATGCTCAACATTTGAAGCAAGTATTTGAAGTCTTACAGCAGAACACATTATACTTAAAGGCTAGCAAATGTACATTTGCTTCTCAGAAAGTGGAGTATTTGGGCCACTTTATTTCTGCCGAAGGAGTAGAGACTGATCCTTCAAAGATTCAAGTTGTACAGAACTGGCCTAAACTTACTAATCTCAAGCAGTTGAGAGGGTTTTTAGGCTTATCCGGATATTATAGAAGATTCATCAAGAATTATGGTTCTATTGCTCGACCACTTACTGAATTACTCAAGAAAGATCAGTTTAAATGGGATGAAGGAGCTCAGATTGCTTTTGAAGAATTGAAGAAAGCTTTATGCACAACACCTGTATTGTCACTTCCTGATTTCAATCAAACTTTTGTGGTTGAAACAGATGCATCAGGCTATGGAATAGGAGCAGTTTTGATGCAAAATGGGCACCCCTTAGCTTACATAAGCAAAGGCCTCAGTGACAGAAACAAACTCAAGTCTGTATATGAAAGAGAGATGATGGCAGTATTGTTTGCTATTAGAAAATGGAGTTCTTACTTAACAGGGAAGCATTTTATCATTAAGACTGATCAGAAGAGCATTAAATACTTGTTAGAGCAAAAAATTACAACTCCAGCACAACAAGATCTTCTGGCAAAGCTCATGGGTTATGATTTTGAACTTCAATATACAAAAGGGCAAGAAAATAAAGTTGCAGATGCTCTTTCAAGAATTCAAAGTGCTGATATATATTGTACTGTTGTTAATACAGTAAATGATGATCTATATGAGAGAGTGGTGGCATCATGGACTTCAGATCCTACCTTGGTACAACTTATTACAGAAAAGCAGCAGGATCCTAATACCCACTCACAGTATTCTTGGGTCCAAGGTCAGTTAAGAAGAAGAGGCAAACTGGTGGTGGGGAATGATCCTACTCTGAAGCAACAAATCTTATTTTGGATGCATGATTCACCATTGGGAGGTCATTCAGGAAGGGAGGCAACTTTACAAAGAATTAAAAGTGTTTTTTTCTGGAAAGGAATGCATAAGGAGGTACAACATTACATAAGAGCATGTGTTGTGTGTCAGAAATGTAAATATGATAATTCAGCTTCTCCCGGGTTACTACAGCCCTTACCAATACCTGAACGAGTGTGGTCTTCTATCTCTATGGATTTTATTGAAGGATTACCACCTTCAAAAGGGAAGAGCATTATTTTTGTAGTTGTGGATAGATTGAGCAAGTCAGCACACTTCATGTCCTTGTCTCATCCATACACAGCTTCTTCAGTTGCTAGAGTGTTTATGGATCATGT